TTCACGCACAATCAGTTCCGTTCCTGGGGTTTATTTTGTCGCCGGAAGGCATTCGAATGGACCCTGCCAAAGTAGAAGCGGTTGCTAATTGGCCCACCCCAGACAGTCGTAAAGCGGTTCAACGGTTTCTGGGGTTTGCCAATTTTTACAGGCGGTTCATTCGAGGGTTTAGTCAGATCGCCTTGCCTTTGACTAATCTCACCTCCACACGTTGGCGATTCTGTTGGTCTGAACAGGCTCAAGAGGCTTTCGAAAGACTAAAGGGCCGCTTCATTTCAGCCCCGATTTTAATTAACCCAGACCCGTCTCGCCAATTTATTGTGGAGGTGGATGCGTCAGAGGTCGGGGTGGGGGCTATTTTGTCTCAAAGATCGCCTTCAGACGACAAAGTACACCCATCCGCCTTTTTTTCTCATCGACTGACCCCCTCGGAACGGAACTACGATATTGGGAATAAGGAGTTACTGGCTGTTAAGTTGGCTTTGGAGGAGTGGCGTCACTGGCTGGAGGGTGCGGGGGTTCCTTTTCTGGTTTGGACTGACCACAAAAATCTTGAGTACATCCGCTCCGCCACAAGAATAAGTTCTCGTCAGGCCCGCTGGGCTCTATTCTTCGGGCGGTTTAACTTCACTATCTCCTATCACCCGGGGAGTAAGAACGGTAAACCTGACGCGCTCTCGCAAATTTTCGAAACTGAGACCGTATACTCTTCTCCGGTGCCCATTGTGCCACCCAACCGGGTGGTTGCGGCGGTCACCTGGGAGGTGGAATCCAGGGTCCGCGAGGCACTAGTTGGCGTTACTATCCCCGCGAGATGCCCAGATGGTCTGTTATTTGTACCTGAGTCAGTTCGAACCAGCATCCTTCAGTGGGGCCATTCTTCTAGACTAGCTTGCCACCCAGGAGTGGCTCCGACACCTGCGCTTCTAGACTAGCTTGCCACCCAGGAGTGGCTCGGACACTTGCGCTGATTAAGCAGCGGTTCTGGTGGCCGTCGCTAGCGCGGGACGCTCGGGAGTTTGTGTTGGCCTGCCTGGTATGTGCGGTGGGTAAGGGCTCTAATCGACCCCCAGTAGGGTTTCTCCGACCACTGCCTATCCCTTCGAGACCCTGGTCCCACATCGCCATGGATTTTGTCACAGGCCTACCCCCGTCTGGTGGCAATACCGTGGTCCTCACTGTGGTGGACAGATTCTCGAAGGCGGTTCATTTCATTCCCCTCCCCAAATTACCCTCAGCGAGGGAGACAGCGGTCATTGTCTTTGATCACGTCTTCCGCATCCATGGCCTCCCGGTGGACGTGGTTTCTGACAGGGGTCCCCAATTTACATCTAGATTTTGGACAGAGTTCTGTCGATTACTGGGGGCGACAGTGAGCCTATCATCCGGTTACCATCCGCAGTCTAACGGTCAGTCTGAGCGGGCCAATCAGGACTTGGAGAGGGTCCTGCGTTGCGTGGCGTCAGCAGAGCCTTTGACTTGGAGTTCCAAATTAGCCATGGTCGAGTACGCACATAACTCCCTCCCGGTCTCGTCTACGGGATTGTCACCCTTCCAGTGCTGTTTAGGCTACCAGCCCCCTTTATTTCCCTCACAAGAATCCGACGCCATTGTTCCATCCGCGCATGCGTTTATTCGGAGATGCCTCCGGACATGGAGGCTCGCCAGACAAGCCCTTATCCGGACTGGCGAAAGGAACAAGACGTCGGCGGACCGTCACCGCTCTAAGCCCCCACTTTATGTATGCGGTCAGAAGGTTTGGTTGTCTACCCAAGACATCCCTCTCAAACTGCCCGCACGTAAACTGGGACCTAAATTCATTGGACCGTACATCGTGACTAAGGTGCTTAACCCGGTGACCGTTCGACTCAAGTTACCCCGCATGCTTAAGAGAGTTCACCCCGTGTTTCATGTATCCAGAATCAAGCCCGTCATTCGCTCCCCCTTCCAACCCCAGACCTCGGCCCCTCCGCCTCCTAGACTCATCGCTTCATGTTTCGAAAATCAAGCCCGTTATTCACTGCCCCCTCCAACCCCAGAGCTCGGCCCCTCCGCCTCCCAGACTCATCGAGGGGTTGCCTGCCTACACTGTACGACGGCTCCTTGACGTGAGGCGAAGGGGTAGGGGTCACCAATATCTGGTAGACTGGGAGGGTTATGGTCCAGAGGAGAGATGCTGGATTCCGGCTCGTGACATGCTGGATCGCGCTCTCATAGACCAATTCCATCGTCGTCATGGTGAGTCTTCCGGAGATGCCAGGAGGCATCCCTGAGGGGAGGGATTCTGTAATGGTCGGCACCTCTCTCCGACTCATTCCTGCGTTATTTTCCTGTCATCTGCTACTGCACGTGGGGGAGCAATCAGCGCTAACTCGCAGCGCTGTGTGCTCCACTAATTGCGCACCTGTTACTCGTTTCCCCTTCCTATTTATTCCCGTCGATGGCTTCTCTCTGTGTCAGTATGTCATTTGTGTTACGTCTGCCCTTACCTTGTATGTTTTGAGATATCCTCTCTGCTTATCATTTTTTGGTACTGTGTCCAGGATCCTCAGGCGAGGATTAATTAATCCACTGGATAAAGTGTCTGGACTGGGAGCGCTAGACTGAACTCTTCTCTGTCATCCTCCCAGCCATCAGTCCAGTTGGTGTGGGCACTGGGAGCCCCGTTTTCTCCTGAATTTTGTGTTGTCTCGTTTTGATGTTATCATCCGAAGTTTCTAATAAACTTCATTCCTTTTTGGCACAGCACTTGAGTCCTCCTGTTTTTACACAGCGTTTTTGTGACACTATCTATCTATCTATCTATCTATCATTTACAGTCAGCTGGTCATTAATGTAAAATAAACCTCCTCACGATGATAATGACCATCTAAACATATTATCCTTTGCATAATGTGGTGCACATTATTAAAACTTAACCACTATGGTTTCATAGAATGATTCATGGCTAATGATGTTTTCTTATAACGAGACGTTTGTGTTGTTTTTCTGCAGTTGTCACTGCGATAGGTACGTGTCAGCGGAGGAGCTGTGTAACTCTTCATGTGTGTCCACACTGCCGGTGCTCTCTGCCAGACTGGATACAGACGGACAGCTACTGTTGAGAATCAAAGCCGCAGATGAAAGCAAAACCTGGAGCAGGGTGAGATCTGGACCTGTTAAAAAACAATTAATTGTTATCTATTAGTTATTATACTGTGCTTACTGATGTGAACTCATACTAAAAATAACATTGTTTCATTTTTCTCTCAGAATATGATAAATGTACTAGGACCTGATGTTCATGTCAAGAACATTGGAAGGATCCACGTCGTCCAGTTCGCTCCTGAGGGAGTGTTTGGTTGTATTTTAAAAGACCCCTTGCTCATTGATTCTTTAGTAAGAGGTAAGCTGGCCAGTGTTTATCTGACCTCCAGGCTCAAACATTTTGCCCAAATCTTTCATCAAAATAGTCCAGAACATAAAACTTTAACATACAATCTTATCGACCCCAAACATTTTAACAGTAGTTTACATTAATATTTCATACAGTTGTATAAATGGACAATGTATTCTGATCAAACATAAACATTAACCATGAACAACTTTATAAATTAACAAATAAATTAACAATTGCTGTGAAAATTTGTTTATTTGTTCATGATACCTAATGCATTAACTGATGTTAACGAACTGAATCTACTAAAGTAGTACAGTTATTATACATTTTTTACTACACAGCCCTCTGTAATACTTAATTCTGATCGATCCGTGTATATTTGATGATTGTGACTGATTTTCTATTCTTTATATTTCCTATTCTGTGCTAGTTCTATGCTGCTGCATTCTCAAGATGTCAAAAACATTTTAGATCAGTATTTCACATTTATTTATTAGCTTTTAAATAAGCAGAATCATTTATAGTCAGCTGGCCATTAACACAAAAAAAAACCCTTCAAGATGGTACAAGAACACCTTATTTATTTTGTGGTAATGACTGTCTAACTGTACATTATGCCTTCATTAAAACATTAAAGCTTGCAGTATTTCCTTTCAGAACCAGTTGAAATTCTGGAGAGAGATTTAAGGAAGAAACGACATGCTGATCAGAGTGAGGTTTCCGAGCCTCTTCCACGGATCCCAAATCCCATCGCATGTCTGTCCCCAAATGATATGCTCATCTTTCAGCTCACCATCAACCACACCGGTATGGCTTTGTCAAATACAGCACTAATAATAAAAGATACCTAGTGTATGGTATGCATGTTTCATGTCATTCTGTGAATTTAGACCGCCACTACAGTCACTTCCCAGTGTACCAGAAGGATCACCTGTTCAGCAGTAACCCTGGCTGGGATTTTGGGGCATTTAGACGTCTGCAGCATCTTGTCAAACACACACAGCTTAATTCCAGCAGGTAAGACTAGATAGGTATATCACACGTAGCTTTCAACACAGATATGCAGCTGATCTGCATTGATTTATCTTGTTAGATTTGCGCATGTGTTCATGGAGCCGGGAAAGTATGTGTTCCTGGATAACGCAGTGCCAGACTGGAGTCTGATAGTGGTCGTGAGTGAACAGGGCTCCGAGTGCAACCCCACAATGGCTGCGTTCCAGCCGACGACCCCTGCACAGCTTGTGCGACACGGGATTGTTAAACAACACAGCTTAAACCTGCTTCCAGACTGGGGGCTCATCACAGGTGAGTCAACAATAAAACTGGGGTGCTTTTGACATAGAAAGTGGCATTTTTCTTCCTAACAGGAATGCTTTACATGCTGTGCTTGGTGTTTCTCCATAGGTATCTTGTCTCTGTTGGTGTTGCTGATAATAGTGTTGACAGCCTCTGCTCTTGTCTTGAGGCCTAATCGGTCCAACCTCAACGCTCAAGGGAGGCCAAAGACCAAGTGGCGCAGCTTGGGTGTACCCAATGTTCCTATTGAATATGTTTATAATACAGAAAGGTAAGTCAGCTGCTTGTTGCTGAGGTTTCATGATGTTTGACAAAGGGATATTCACAAGTAGTTTGGGACAAGAATACTAGGGATGCACTGATATTACAATTCTGACATCTTAGCCAATATATATGCCAATTTATTTATTTTTTCCGTGTAATGGCTGATAATTGATAAATTATTATTATTCTAAAATCAAATGAAAATGAATTGCTTTAAAGGATACACATACATTTAGGCATCACAGCATTATAATGTATACAGTAGTATCAAACATAGACATTAATTTTGAGATTTGCCAAAGATTACATTTAACAGTGTTATTGAATTATTTATGTTACTAATATTAATGTTATGAGTGTCAGATTATGAGTGTTAGATAATGGCAACAGTATTGTCAAAATGTGAGAAACAAGCATGTACAATCAAATATTGACCAGTATACACTATATTTGGGGTCAGTAAGATTTTGTTTTTGTGTTTGAAAGAAGTCTCCTATGCTCACCAAGAATGCATTTGTTTGATCAAAAATACAATAAAATCAGTAATATTGTGAAATATTATTACAATTTTTATACTCCCCAAGGATGCATGTGTTTGATCAAAAATACAATAAAATCTGTAATATTGTGAAATATTATTACAATTTTTATGCTCACCAAGGATGCATGTGTTTGATCAAAAATACAATAAAATCAGTAATATTGTGAAATATTATTACAATTTTTATGCTCACCAAGGATGCATGTGTTTGATCAAAAATACAATAAAATCAGTAAAATTGTAAAATATTTTTACAAATATTAAAATAACTGTTTTCTGTTTGAATATATTAAAATGTCATTTATTCCTGTGATTCAAAGCTGAATTTTCAACAGCCATTATTCAAGTCTTCAGTGTCACATGATCCTTCAGAAATCATTCTGATATGCTGATTTGGTGCTCAAGATATTGCCTATGTACCAACATATAATATACACTCTCGTTTAGATCATCAGAAGACTAATTCATAGATATTAAACATGGTAGGGTTACATATATGTAAGATGACAGGAATGGGTTCCATCATAAGCATGCATAAAATAGTCTAAAAAGATCAAAGACAACATACACAATGACCTGAAGGATATGTGTGTTCATTCAAAGAAAGGTTTTCCTATGAATTAATTAGTAGAAAAGTCCATTTCTACTGTGCATTGTGCCTCTTGCTATGGAACATGCAGTGATTTTCTCTCTGCTCACATTCCTCGGGGTCATAAAACCAGTGGTATCAGCATTAGTTGCCATGGGGACCAGGGGCCTGTTCGGCTTTCCTAGGGTGTTACGCATTTCGGGGGAAGGGTCCATAGGTCCTCATATGGCTTGTTAACTGAGGGGTGTTGCAGAGTATTTGTTAAATATAGCTAACAAAATATATATTGTGTGTTTGATTGGTCCAGACGCTACATCAGTAATATTGTAAAATATTATTACAATTTTTATGCTCACCAAGAATGCATTTGTTTGATCAAAAATACAATAAAATCTGTAATATTGTGAAATATTATTACAATTTTTATGCTCACCAAGGATGCATGTGTTTGATCAAAAATACAATAAAATCAGTAATATTGTGAAATATTATTGCAATTTTTATGCTCAGCAAGGATGCATGTGTTTGATCAAAAATACAATAAAATCAGTAATATTGTGAAATATTATTACAATTTAAAATAACCATTTTCTATTATAATACATTTTAAAACGTAATTTATTTTTGTGATGATAAAGCTTAATTTTCAGCATCATTACTCCAGTCTTCAGTGTCACATGATCCTTCAGAAATCATTCTGATATGCTAATTTGGTCTTCAAGAAACATTTCTTACTATAAATGTTGAAAACAGTTGATATCTTCTTAGAAACCTTGTTACATTAGCAGATCTAATTTGTTTCTCAAAATGAAAAGCCATTTTTCATATTGCACATTATTATGTTGTGATGCCTAAATTCACTTGTAGCATGTAAAGCAATCAATAGCACATGGTGCAGTTTTGAGTGTGCTTTGTATTGTGTTGTAGTGCGGACGGCTCTGAGCCACTAGGTCTGAGAGGGGTGGGAGAGGGAGCAGAATCAGAGGAACCTGCTGTTTGCAAAGGAGGTAACTGACAATCATCTGAAATGCCTGACAACGGATAAATATACAAAAACTCTTCTGAATTCTGTCGAATCCCATAAGATTTCAGAACTACGCTAATGGAGCTGGAGGAGTTTAATGTGAAAACTCTGTATGACAAGTTAGAGGATCAGAATTTACATCTGGCATCCCAGCTGGCAAAGCACCGCAAAGACACACAGGAGTTTTACAGGAACATGTGCCAGCAAATTGATGCTCTGAGGGTAAGACAGAAACAGGAAGTCAACTGAAGATAAGAAATGCATCAAAAATGGAAATAATAACATGATCAATCTCTGTAACTAATCAGTTTGTACATCTGGTATTTAGGACACACTAGAACATATGGAACCCTCAAAACTGAACCAGCTGAAAAAAATACTAGACAATGAAGTTCTGATGAAAGGAGAAACTGCTCATGGTGAGACAGAAGTTTGCTATAACTCGAGCCTTACATGTGTGTATCATTCTTAAACAGTCACAGGTCTGTGAAAGTATTTGTGTTTGCACCAGAGCCGTGGATGGGGCTGATGGAAGCCGTGCTGAGATCTTTGGAGGGAGTGCTGTGCAGGATGAATGGGGAGGTCTGGCAGCAACAGGACAGCACAGCAACAAAAAGCCACAGAGACACTCGAGAGAGTGAACTTCACACCGGATACACTCAGGTTACTTATTTCAGTCCATTAAAACAACACAGAGCCATGGATGACCAATGAATGCACATAATAGTGATATTAAAAGAATAATTCAGTAAAAATTTTTAATTTTGTCATTATTTATACTCTCTTGTAAGTATACAGTATGTCATTCTTTAAATGTGAGACGTGTTTCAAAATGGATCTATTATCCTTTTTTGATCAGATCATATATCTTTAATCATAAAAGTGGTCCATTGGTGTAACGTTTGATTTGTTCTTTTGGGCTGTGTTGTTAGTGTGAACTAAAACCATTAAAAATTATTTTTGTTTATTAAAATAAAGTTGAAATAAAACGAAATGTAAATATTATAATAAAAAAGAAAGGTTTCATTTGTTAACATTAACTATATTAGTTAACATGAACAATAATTATATAGCATTTATTAATGTTAGTTAATATTAAGTTCAAACTTACTAATACATTATTCAATCTGTTAACATTAGTTAATGTACTGTGAATTAACATGAACATTTTTATTAACTAACATTGACAAAGATTAATACATTTTGAAATGTTGCCTACATTTCAACACTAAATGAAAAATTAAATTGAAGCTGAAGTAGCACAATTACTAAAACTAAAATAAAAATAAAGCTAAAAAAATCTTAATCCAATAGAAATAACAAAAACGTATAACAAAATAACTAAAGCTAAAATAAAATAAAAACTCCAATAGTATATAAATAATACTAAAATAGCACTGCTTTTTAACACCTCTTTTCAGTGAATCGGTTCAAACACAACCGATCTGAAATTATTCATTCACAAATCATACACAGAATCTAATATAGATGCATCAGTTTACAGCTTTTGTGTTCCACGGGGGAATAAAAATCAAACCTGTTTGATTGAGTACATAATGACATCATTTTTATTTTGGCTGAACTATCCCATTAAGTATTTCTGTATCATTTTACAGTTTTCTCCTGCAGACATGTCCGAGTTTAAAGTGGGTGCAGATACAGAGGCAGCTTCCTCAGATCCAGGTTCGACCTTGATAAAAACCAAAGACTTGATTTGCAGTCTTTGACCCAGGGCTACTGCTGTGCTCACAGTACATGCTCTCATCTGTCAGGTCAACAGCAGAGCACCATCCCCTGCGTGAGTGAAGAGGAACTGGCCAAGTTTGTGTCTCTGACGCCTCTGTCCAAAACACTGCAGGAAATAAAGGAATCGCTCCAGACTCTCGCCCACACGTCCGAGACAGAGGACGGTCGGTACACATTTATGCATTTGGATTCAGTGAGCTAAAGTAGAAATGCACTTTTAATGAATTGTGTTGATATATAACAATTAAAAATATAATATAAAATTGTATTTATTTATTTAAAATATGTTTTATTTATCTATTGCATCTGTTTTGTGTGTCATGTAAGGTCTTCTAGTCGTTTCAGAGTTTTGTAATGACCTACATCTGCTTTCTTCTTCTTCAGTAATTATCAGCCCAGCAGAGGGTGAACCATCGCACCTGATCCCTGTTGCCCTTGACAGCCTTTCCCCACAGCATTTCGCTGTCTTCCTGTTTGGCTGCCATGTTGTGCGTTTACTGAGCAGAGCTTGTTCCTTCCCCCCTGTCGTGCTGCTATTGGCCAGGATGGTGCCAGTCTCTCACTGTGATAACCTGCTGGCCTACTGCCATAAAGACTTTTATTACGACACAGCCAATCAAATTCTGTACATCCTAGAGAAGAAGCTTCAAAATGCTGGCCAGTTCATCTCCATTCTCTTACACTCAATGGCCTATATCACCTCAGGTAAGTAAGAATGCCCTAGTCTTCGCTACATAGTTGTTTTCTGTAGTCAAAGATGTCTACAGATTTCTTTTACCTTTATTTAACAAGGCAAGTCACTTAAGGGCAAAATTTGTTTTGAAAGAAATATCTTGTGCTCAGAAGGCTGCTTTTATTTGATTCAAAGATACAGTAAAAACAGTAATATTTTGAAATATTATTACAATTTAAAACAACTTTTTTTCTATTTTAATATATTTTAGAATGTAATTTATTCATATGGTGGCTGAATTTATTTGATATAGATTTTTTTTTTACCAAGTAAAAGACTTTACTGTCACTTTTGATCAATTTAATGCATCCTTGCTGACTAACCCCCGGTTTCACAAACAAAGCTTAGGCCTAATCCCAGACTAAAATGTAAATCTGAGCTGTTTCAACTGAAAGAAACTTGCACTAACTGCTCTTAAAATATGGCAGTGCATTTGTTTTATCTCAAGATGCACACCAGTATTGTTTTTTTCTAAGGCATGTTTATAAAAACTACTTAAATGTCCTAATTGAACTATTGCCTAATCCTGGTTTAACCTAAACCCCGTCCGTGAAACCAGGCCTTAAAGTATTAATTTATAAAAAAAAAAAACTTACTGACTTTTAAACAGTAGTGAACAATACATAAAAGATACTAATACACAAAATAAGACGATTAAAACATATATAAAATATATCTAAAATGCTTGTTTTTAGTTCTATAAAAGCTTTGATAAAGAGATAAGTATCATCTTTCAGTAACATCTGCAAAGTTCTCCAAACATAAAAAGCATTAAACCTTTTTCTTTTGGCATTTCTATTTTTTTACAGGCTCAAAATCTCTCGAATTCATAAAAGCCTTCCACTTGGCCGTTTCAGCACTAAGCATGCAGTTGTTTCATCACTCTTTCACTGAGGATCAGAGGAAAGGAAAGGTAAGACACGTGTTTGAAATATATACAGTATAAAATTCAGGAAGAGCTAAAACAGACTTTTGCTCTCATGTTAGATGGATGAGGAAAACACACCAGAGGCCTTTGGAACATTAGTAGAGGACTTCTTCAGTGTAAAAATACCTACTGAAACGCATTTCACTGAACACCTGCTGGCAGAGAGGTTAGGATCCAATCTAAGGTGAGTTTTGACATTAAGAATATATTAAAACATTACAAACATTCACTTTAATTGATTTTAGACTTCAAGTATATAAATACTTCAAGTTGGAACAGCTCCTCCAAGAACTAAAACCAACTCTAAAAGACAGACATGGAGATGGTGAGAGATTTTGAGAGCGACTTTTAAAAGAAAACATTCTTAGCCTTGCAAACACCGGAACACGGGTACAATTTTGGGTCTTTTGTGCACAGGACGAGGGCAAACTGGCCTAAAAACGCAAGTCCCAGTGAGTGAAAGCACTTTTTGCATGTTATGTTTTATTTATTCGGAAGAGTGTACATCTATGGAAATATCTCCTGTTTTTTTATCTACCTGTGCTTCAGGTGCTGTGTATGGAAAGAGAAATAAACAGACTTGATGAAGTTTACCAGCAGCTCTCCTCTGAACTCTACAGGGCAACACACATACGCAGCTCACCGGAGAAGAAAGAGCCCAGGTTTGACAAACCGCTTCAGGTAACAGTCAGTCTGACTCACCTCATGGAGACCCCTATACAGCCCCCACTATATTTGCAAGAGGAATGAATTCACATTGTAAAATGTATTTCTCACCCCTTCTGTCTGTGTCTCTGATGCTCCCCACGCTTTCAGGAGCAGCAGGTGATGCTGGAGCTGCAGAATTGTACGGTGGATCAGAGACTGAAGGCGATGAGAGACAGATTTTCTAAACTGAGCTCAAGCCAGCAAGCGAGTCCTAATGAAAGCACACCTGCTCACGGCACAGTCCTGGCTCAGGAAGACAGCCAGACTCCCAGCAAATGCAAACCAGACAGGGGAGGAGCAGAGAAACAGACACCTGCTGCAGGACAGTCCAGCAACAAGAAGAAGCAGAGCAAGCATATGGACAAAGATGAGGAAAAGGGTGTGACTGCGTGAGGAATAATGTTTGAAAATGGTGATTATTCTAAAAATAATCTGTTTCTTGTCTTTACACCGTTTTATTCTTACAGATCTTACAAATTACAATCATTATTTTATCCATTCATAATGACTGTGAAACTTGTGTGGCACAGTCACAGCCAGTCAGAAGATATTTAATGTTTAATGTACAGTTATGATGAGCAGGGCAAGACGAAATAGAAACAGAAACCAAAATGTCCTTTCAGTTGTCACTTGTAGATCTCATTGCTATTTATGACAAAACTCACATGGAGGAGATGGATTTAACATTTAACACCCCTGGTTTAGAAGAAGTGTTATGCTAAACAACTTGGCAAATGTAGTCACAACCTTAAAACTGAATCTTTATGGTTTATTTTCATCAATGTATGCATATATGTACACTACTGGGTTGGTAAGATTTTTTTAAATGTTTTTGAAAGAAGTCTCTAAAGGATGCATTTATTTGATCAAAAAAATTGGTAAAAAACATTAATAATGTGAAATATTATTACAATTTAAAATACTGTTTTCTATTTGAATATATTTTAAAATGTAATTCCAGTCTTCAGTGTCACATGATCCTTCAGAAATCATTCTAATAGCAAGAGACATTTCTTATAATCAGTGTTGAAAACAGTTGTGCTGCTTATTATTTTTGTGGAAACCGAGATACATTTTTGTTCAGGATTCTTAAACGAACATACAGTTCAAGAGAACAGCATTTATTTGAAATAGAAGTCTTTTGTATTATAAATGTCTTTACTGTCACTTTTGATCAGTTTAATGCATCATTGCTGAATTAAAGTATTAATTTCTTAAAAAAAAAAAAATCTTACTGACCTCAAACTTTTGAATGTTAATGTATGTTTTTTATTAATTATCATTCATTTGAACATGATTTAAAATCAAAATGATGAAACATCATCATAAAGGTGTCATTTCTTATGTCAATACAAGAATGAGGGAAAACGTTACTAATTAAACATGCTATGCACTTCTGAGCCGTAATATGTGTGCCATGTTTTATCTGGGTTTTTCCAGTCAATAATCTAACAGTTCATGCTCGCTCATGCTCAGAGCCGGGCTAAACTCTTTTCCTCTAGGGGGAACAGACTGTGAACAGATTGGGAGGGAGGGGGAGCGGTAGCTGTCATTAGCCGCTATCAGTGTTACAACTCTCTGTCCTTGAGCTGATACGCTCAAGAAAGTTCCATTGGCTGTGTGCCGTCTGACTTTATCACTTTAGATTAAACGAACAGTGCATCCACGCAGCATCCAGCGCGGACTTTCCACTTAACATACCTGTCGGACTCCGCGATCTGCTGCTGAAGTAGATGCAGTGTTTGCAAGGCCCTCATACAGAATAATACTCTCACATTCAGACTGTATTGTAGATGTTTAGATTTTTTTCCTAGATGTGCCATTCATTTTTAATGCCTATGGACTTTATGCTTTTGAGAAAAGTAGCTTATAAAGTTTTAAAAATCCTCTACTGACACTGATTTAATTTTTGCAGGCTAATAATAATAATACATTATTATTATATTAATATTTATTGTCATTGTTATTATTATCATCACTAACAACAACAACAGTAAGGACAATTACCATTATTATTGTTGTTGTTACTACAACAGCAATAATAACAACAATTACTATATTAACAATTGTAGCAACAAATATTGTTGTTGTTGTTGTGACAACAACAACAATAATAATGGTAATTGTCATTACTGTTGTTGTTATTGTTAATATGTTAATATTATCCCTGCAACTAATACAAATAAAATTCTTGAAGTTTGGAACTTAAAGGCAATCTTTGTTTGAGCTCAAATTGACCGCTAGTGAAATTGTCTATTTTGCATTTTTAGATGTAATTTAAATGTAATAGTTTCTTCATTACAAATTATATGATCATAACAGTTTGAGTTTGCAATTGAAAGTTAAATTACGAATTAATCACAATATTTTAATATTTTGATCTAAGATTTCATATTTTAAGATTTGATTTGACCTAAAATGTATTTTATAGTTTATAAATATGTATTCTTAAATTTTTTATTTAATTATTATTTTAACATTAAATATTATTATTATTATCATCATCATTACAACTAATATAAATAACAGCTACAACAACAATAATATAAAAACAACAACAAAATCAATAATAATAATGACAATTACTATTATCATTGCTGTTGTTAAGAACAACAATAGCAACAACATTATTATTATTATTATTATTATAGTTATTAACAACAATGAACATTATTATTGTTGTTGTCACTACAATGACAACAGCAACAACAATAGTGTTCATTGTTGTTGTTAACGATACTAATAATTATTGTTATTATTATGTTATTATTATCCGTACAACTAATATAAACAGCAAAAACAACAATAATGATGACACTACACATTATTTTTGTTGTTTTTAATAAAAATAATACTAATTATTATTATTGTAGTGGCAGCAACAACAACAACAATAATAATAATAATAATTATTATTATTATTTGTGCATATCAATCTGTTAGAGTTTACTTGTTAGTATAACAAAAACTTACTACCTGGCAAACACTGTATTTCCTTCAGGAAATGCAAATGTTTTTGCTTTTGCTTTGCTGTTTTTATGAGTGTTTGTTTAATATACATTATTTATGAACAGGTTGTCATGCTGTATTTCTGGAGGAGGTAACTGTGATCATGCCTATTTCTGTCCTGGCTCTCTTCATTACAAACGGACAGCTGCAATACCTGAGAGGACTCTAGTCTACAGTCCAGCGTCTCTTATTACAGAGACCACTGATTTATTTGCAGAAATATTGTCCTCTGTTATAGGGCTGAAGATCCACTGATATCTCCATTAAGGGAACATCCTCCTGTAAGTGTTGTCATTTATTATTCATGGCATATACATGTTTTAAACAGAAAGTGTGTCCATTTGTAGATCTTAGAAACATCTGTTGATAATGCCTCTTAGTAGCCCAAATAGCAAGCATGACATCTGTCTACATTCAAACTGACAGAGAAAGAAAAACAAATGAACTATAGGATATCCTTTAGGTACATTTTTTCGAGCTTATTTCTTAGAATCACCTTTGGATAACATTTCTACTGAAATACATTAGACAAAGGCTGCATCCGAAAACTGAAAATTGCTGCCTTTTGGAGGACGCATTCCAAGGTAGGAAGGCATCAAGGCACATCCGAATTCAATGTTAGCTTCAGTTCCTGTCTTCTGAGATGCCTTCATCTGGCCGATTTTTGAAGGCAGCATAGATGTATCCTTCGCTGCCTTTGATATCTCACAATCCTGTGCATTCCATTCTGTGACAGTTAAGCTAAAAATAAAGATGGCGTCTGAAAGCTGCGGTCGGTGGTCAGTTTGTGTGTAAATGTATGTTTTTGATCAACGTTTTCCACTTTTGATGTCATTTCTAGCGAGAAATTAATATTGCAGTAATGAAATATGCAATTAGTTATCACCAAAGCTCTCTATATTTTGCTGTAGATCATTAAACCGTTACTCTGCCTCAGAAGCCTGTCCGAAAGCAGTTTCATGAGGTGCCTTCCTGCAAAAAAATGCTGCCTGCAAAGTCATTGCCTCATATGGCAGCTGTAACGGGGCTGACGAGACGTGAGACGTGTGGATCCATCTGCAAGCTTTATTAAAGAGACGTGGTAAACAGGCAGGGTCAAACAATGGCAAACAGGTATATGGCGGGCAAAACACAAGAATAGTCCCAGGGCTAGCGTAGGTCACCGATCGGCAGACAGAATCACAGGGGCGAGACGAGAGGGAAAAATCCAGGAAAACAGGCAAAGATCAGAAACCGCGGAAACAGGCAAGGCAAGGCAAAACAAGGAAAACACAGAGACTCGGAATGGGGTACGGGCTAAACAATACTCAGCAGAGAAAGGTGGTTAGAGTGGGTGTTATATAGTGAGTGAGGTGATTAGAAACAGCTGTGTGCAATGAGTGCAATCAGTGCAGTGTGCAAATCGTGCAAAGAATGATGGGATATGTAGTCTGGGGTGCTATGCAACAGTTTGTGTTGTGCGAGAGTCAATGTAATGGAAAGGGTGACCTCTGGTGGTGAATAAACGGAAGTCCATGGACCGAATTCGTGACAGCAGCGAGGCAGCAAGTCAGCTGTCTAAAGTTTTCGGATGCAGCGAAAGTTTGATTAGAAAAATAAATGAATTAATAGAACAGGGTACCATATTTCACTTGCCTGTAGTTTAACAGACTGAGCAAAATTCATGTAGTAACCTGAAATTGCTCTAGATCTCTTGAAATGCATTTCTTAATTTTACATGGTTTACATCAGTACATAAAGGGTCAGAGATCCTTTGGAGCAGAGAGGTTTCATTTGAAAGGTTTGTAATGTAGCACATAATACCAGACTTCCTTTAGTGCTACAAGCATTTCTGTTTTCGAGTCCAGTGATGTGTGAAAATGGCTTGCATAATCTTGCTCCTGGTTGTTATTCCGTGATAACGAATGTGAACTCTCCATGCAGTATGTATAAATTCTCTTGAGATATGATCATTTATTTTGTGTGCATCATTATATAAATTGCTATACTTTCTTTTTTTCAAAAGACCATGAAATGGGAAACATTGCCACACACATAACAGAACATAAAGATGGCTAATAGATGGCAAAACTTTGTTTTGATAGTTTCATCAATAATATTTGATAACAGTACTGGTAAGGTGCATTGCAACTTCAAATAGATCCAAAATGTTTGGTTGTCTGTCCAGTTTTGATTTTTCAGCCCTTTCCAGATCTTTTAGCATGCTGGATAATAAGCAGACCTGATGGTGCTGGTAAATAATGTCTGTAGAGAGGTTTTAAAACCTGATGCAGCAGAGACACTGCTCAAGAATGGATTCATGAGGTGAGATTGATGGGAGGAGGTCAGAAGACATATTTTGGAGAGGCAGTTCAGCAATATGTGTTTAAAAAGCTGGAGTGTTTCCTCATGGGAGATGGTTTCAAACAGAGATGGAGTAGGATGAGGCTGTAGGATGTGGCAAGTGTTCCCTGATGGAAATAATCTACAAGAGGCAGGTTTTGATTGTGATTGCATTTAAACTTCAAAGCATAAATCCAGTGAAGATGTAGTTTTTGTCAGTAGAAAGTAAAAAATAATGTTTAAAGGGG